AGAGATTTAGTGAACTCAAGTTTTAGTACTAGTCACTTTGACTTACCAATGTGTGAGATCTTTTTAAGGTCAATACCACGGTATCTTGGGTGGCTAATGTTGGAGCTCTGGGAACACAAACACTCAATATGGAATCCACACTCTTTATTAGTGTTAGAATATCCCCTTGATGCAATTTAATATGTTTGATCACTAGAACCTGGCCAGGACATTTTAGTAAAATGTTTATTAAATTATTTTTCTATTATTTATTTTGAAAAATATTTTTTTTGAAAAATCCTTTCTAAAAGAATTTAATTCAGTGATCATAAAGATTAAGTTGGTTACTCAAGGAATATAAAATATAAGTAAGCCTTAGGTGGGACAGTATATATTTTCCTGGGGCTACTTATGGATATTAGTAGTGGAGGGACTTATATGTAATTATTTAGTACACAGGGCCTTGTCGTAATTTCTAAATCCTAAAGTGCAATTACAATACTATTTGTGGTGCTTATTGTAATTAATTGGATAGGATAGAGTTATAAGATAACTTTATCTCTATCCAATTGGAGTTAGGATAAGGAAGCCCTCTTGGATCCTCATCTCTAGGCCCAGACTTTTTAACCGATTCTCTCAGATCATATATTCAGTGAGATAACGATACAAAAAATTGTATCGTACACTATCCAGAATACAGAGAGTGGGAGAGAAAGTTATGATTCCACAAACCTATATTGGGGTCATAGAGGTGAAGACTCATTAGTTTTCAAGGCCAAAGAAAAAAGTAAATACTGAATACGACGATTATTCAATCGTCCAAAGGTATGAGATCCATTTACAGTATTTATTGATTTGTTGAAAAATCACGTGGTTACGCTCCTGAAAATTTTTAAATGCTTTCGTTGTGCCTTCAATATTATTATTATACAATCCTCATACTATTAGACTATAATAATTACGACACTGAACGAAGCAAAATGAATGAGCTAAAAGCCTAAATTGGATAAAGTTTCTCTTAAAAGTACCGTGAGCAGTAAAGGTGTCTTTTTTTTTTTTTTTTAACCATATTTAAGACTTAACTAAACCAATGGCAAGAAAGTGTGTTGTTGGTAATTATTGTTTGAAAAATGATATAATGACCGAATCAAACAATCCAGTAAAAAATCGAACCTAACGTGAATAGGCCACGTATTTCCTAAAAGCGTAAATGTCCACGTTTCTCTCTCCTCTCTCCCTCTTCCTCCACGTTTCTCTCTCCTCTCTCCCTCTTCCTCCATTCTTCTGGTTCTCGATTCTGCCTCTCTTCTCTCTGTCTCTTTTTTTTTTGCAAAATTAGAAGAGAAAAACAAAAATAAAATTTCATCTTGTATTGCCTCTTAAATTCAAGGGTTTAATCCATGGTTGATAAATAACTCTATCATTTGGGCCAAAACAAAACAAATGATTATGAATGCTTCACTTTCAACCAAATTAAAGATGGAATAATCTGTGTGTTGTAAAACTCTTTGCGATTCAAGTATGACAAAACTGAAATATAATTTGTTTTTTGTATCTTGTAGATCACATATTTGCCAATAAAGTCTACACAAAAAAAAAAAAAAAAAAAAAAGGCTGCAACTGTAGTCTATCGCCTTCAAAGCTTTGAGAAGATTTATCAGTTTCTCTTGATTTTCATTCTGTAAAAGATTAATGTCTATTGTGACTGCAACTCTTCAGAACCCCAAGGTAGAGATGCCTATAAAGAGAATATTATGAGACTTGAACAAAAAGGTGAGGATGAGGACTTGAAGAGAGAGGAGAGAGAGAAGTGGCGAGAGAGAGAGAGAGAGAGAGAAATGGCCGACAAAAAGAGAGGAGAGAGAGAGAGAAACGGCGAGGAAAAGAGAAAAACGGCGAGGAAAAATCTGATGTGGCCTAGCCACGTAAGATTTGGTCCTTCTTTCGGCAAAAATCTTCGGTTTCCTTATCACTACTCTTATTGTTTTAACAATTAGAAAATGTGAATTCCACAATATTAAATATCATAGGATTAATGTTCATTATTTTAACACTCGACGAAATCTTTCACTTGTGCGGGCATGTGGCAAGCACTCAACATGGTCTCCTATGTAACGGGGAACTCAGAAATTTTTTAAATTAGGATAAATTACATCGAACCTCTTTTAAGGTTTGATGCTTCAGCGTTTATCGATTTCTTCTGAACTTGTTCACTAACTACCAAAAGGTGACTTTGAGTGTGAAAAGTCAATAATACCTTTATATTATAGGGTAAAGTACAACAACGCCCTTAAGGTTTGCCAAAGAGACTATTTTAGGACAATGACACACCCTCAATTTTGATAGAGCTACCAAAGACACCCCAATGATAATAAATTAACATTTTTATCACTTGACTTTTATATTGACCAATTTAAATGTTGAAATAACTTTTCTAACCTCATACCCATAATCATTTCTTTCCTTCTCTACTCTCTTCCTCCACCCCAACACCAACACACATATATACACACACATACTGTCACACATATATACACATATATATATACACACACACACTACATATACATATACATATACATATATATATATATACACACACACACACAAGGCAGAGACTACGGCGAGCCGCCTCTCCTCCACCGTTGGCGTCATCGTCATCCTCCACTTCTACATCAACGAATGGACTACTTTAGATCTTCGAATCCGACGTGGCTAACTCTAGATCAGCGGCCTGCCTTCGATTCCATCGACCAATAGAGCCCCATAGTCACCGATGAGATAAGTGTGGCAATGGTTCGGCCGGTGGAGGGCTCGACCGTGATGGGCGATGGTAGAGATGATGGCGACGGGCTGGTTCGCGACAGAAAGCGAGGAACAGCAGTGGACGGGCGGTGGTGACAAGGACGGTTCGCGGCTCGGCACCGGCGGGCAAGGAGAACTCGGCCGGTGGAGACGGACTGGTTTGGCCGTGGATGAATTGGCAGCGGCTCAGATAAGGGTGACGGCGGAGAGCTTCGGCTTTAATGATGTCGGCTGTGATGGCGGCGGTGGCGAGCTCAGTGATGTGCAAGGCTAAAGATGGTGATGTCTCAGCCGTGGATGATGGCGACGGCGAGCTCGGCTTTGGACGATGGCAGCCGGCGAGCAAGGACGACGAGAGAGAAAAATCCACCAGTTATGTGGTTGTCAACGTCTGTGGCAGGGTGGTACATTTATTGTAAATGGTTCACCACTCACCAGGAACACTTTTTACACCATTTAACACGATTTGACTAATGATTGACACATTACGATGGTAAGTATTAGAGTGAAAAAATTAAACATAGCTTCAAGACTTTAAGTTTATAAACATTGATTTAAATAATTTTCATATGTATTTTTTTAGTCGTTCTAAAACAGGGGTGGATGATATCCTTATATTTCAAAACTTAGCTAACAAAGTTTCTCTCTCCACCTATTATGGAAGATATTGACTTTGAAGTTAGAAATTACTTCAGTTATTTGAGGTCATCTGATCAATTGGATCAAACCAAAGAAAATTCTTCCCATTATAATCTCATAGTTATTTCAGTTTTATTTATTTTGTATTTTATAATTTGTTGATATTAAATTTTGTCCAACAGTCCAATTGTAGACCCAAATCAGATTTTAAAGATAAATCTAACATAATAATTCATGAGAAAAATAGGGAGAATATGGTTTGTAATGGATTCGATGACCTGTCAATTTTTTTTTCAACCTTGTATGTAAGGTCTAAAATGCATCAATAAACAACTTTTTATTATATAATTTTATATAAATAAATTTTTAAATGAATTTTAATAATTTTTATTAAAATTTTGAAGACCATTAATCTAAATGGTTATTTATTAAATGGGTCAAGAATTGACCAGTCATTTAAACAGGCTGGGAAGGGTTAATTTCAATGACAGAAAACAAGCCATTCAAATTGTGTTTCCCTTTCTCTTCTTTGTCTCGCATGCTTGGAAAAATAAACCACCGTAGAGACTGGGAAGTGTTTATAGAACCTCTAAATCTCTAATCCCATCTTAAATAAACCAAAACTAAAAGAATTCAATAATGGTACCAACCAAAAGCAACAGATAATATAGAAAATCAAATGATGGAACGTAAAATCAACTTGAATTATTTGTTAACATTTTGACTTGGGGTCAACCCATAAAGCCTTTCTGCACCAAAACTGAAGGCTCTAAAGAGGAGGACAAATTTTATTTGATTTATTATGTCTAAAATCATATTCTGAAAACAGAGTTTTAAAAAGAACACATCATTAGTATACAGTATTTCTTAATTTTTTTTTAGATATCTGAAAATTATTTGTGATTTTAGTTTTCTGGTAGGCTTTTCTACTAGGTTTCATGGACCCGAATTACAACAATTTTTAGGCCGGTTGAAACCACCATTACCTGAAGAACGTCTCAAGACTAGGCGGAATTATACTTGGGTCTTCTGAGTTTTAACCCATACAAAACCTTTAAAGAGAACATGGGAACAAAATGCATTTTGAATTTAGAATTGTAAAAAATTAAAATCAAATTTTTTACTAAATTTTCTTCAATTCTAAATCCATATCCCATTGCTCTCAAACATAACAATAAATAATTTACTGACTTTGAGGAAACATTAGTATTTTGAATTGCCAAACATCAAATTTATTTTACAATGAACCCAAATATAATTGGTAATAATTACAAGATGTTATTTAATTTGAACTCCTAAGCAGCACAAGGAAAAGAAATGGAAAGAGTTACAATATCTAACGACCATCAAACACACCGTCTAAATATTTTTCCGTCAAAATATCTTTCGAAAATAATCCACAACAAAGTAGTAGCAAAAGGTAACACACACCTCAACCAAATGAATCCAGACTCGCCTCCAGTAAGGGTTGATGTAGAAAACAACTGCAATCCCTAATGACATAGTTACGTAGGACGCTGTAAAGGTCACATAAAATGATTCCATGTCCATGAAGCCATCATCCACTTCATTGCTATTCACGACTGTTGGGGTTGTTGGAGGTGGCCCAATGGCGGTGCAAGGTCTTGAAAGTGGTGGTCCACAAAGAAGTGGATTGCCAATGTAGCTACTATTATCAAATTTATCAAATTGAACATATCTTTTACTTTGTGGTATGGTGTCGGACAGGTTATTGTATGATACATTAAATATGGCCGAGAATACAACTCATTAAGCTGTGAAGGGAGTTTCCCACTTAAGTTGTTGAAGGAGATATCTAAGCTCTCTACTTTGTATAGGTTTGAAAACGTTGTTGGTATTGTCCCGCTTAGGCCATTGTGAGACAAGTTCAACGCTCTGATTTCGCCAATGTTTCCAATTTCATTTGGAATGTGGCCTGTCAATCTGTTGCAGGAGAGATCAATAGCTGAGAATAGATCAAGATTGATTCCCTTGTAAGAGAGTGACGTTCCTTTATTAGTGAATTTTACTTCTGCTTCTCTACCGAATTCGCCCTGATAAGATCTGTGCTTGGTTTCTGCAAATATATCTAATGCATAGCTGAAACCCTTGGTTTCTGCAAATATATCAAATTGTTATGTGACAGTTTCAAAATTTTTAAGACCATGCAACCCATGGCCAAGTGCTCCGGTATTCCACCCGATAGTTGATTGTTGGACAAGTCAAGAATCTGTAGAGAAGACATATCACCTAATGAAGAGGGAATGCTACCACCAAATCTATTTCCGGACATGGTTAACCATATTAAACCTGGAAAAGTTGTACCAATGTTTCTCGGAATATGCTGGAAGTTATTGTGAGAGATATCTAGTGCTAGAAGCTGTGTTTCGGGATGGGATGGCAACTGAGGATATCTACGGAATGAATTATTTGGTAGAAAAAGTCCTACTAATCCTCTATTGTTCTCCAACAACCAATTTGGAAACTTCCCATCAAAGCTAATTTGAGAAATCTCAACTATTTGGAGGTCCTTTTGGTAGTAGAGGAAGTTGGGAAAGTCTGTAGTGCTACTGGTATTGCTAGATGCACTGTGAGATAAACGAATAACAGCCAGTTGGAAACGCGGCGCCGGAGTCTGGAAATTCAATTCTGACACCAATTCGTTTTCTTGGCTTTCAATGAGCTTGAGTTTTGAGTGGTTGAAGAATGATGGAAACGTGATTGGGACTTGGAAGCGGTTGTTTGAAAGGACAAGGTGTTCAAGAAATGTCATTTGAATAAGTGGAGAAAATGCAATATTTCCAGTGAATTGATTGGAATACAGATCCAAAAAACGAAGGGATGTCAACTTTGCCAAGCACCCGGGCAAGTTACCCTCCAGTTTGTTATAGGAGAGATCAAGATGTTGAAGAGTACTCCTCAATTCACAAAGCCCTGAACACCATTAGAATGACGAAGTCTAATTAACTTTCATCTAATACTCCCTCCATTCCAATTGAAGTGTCACCTACGGGGAGTACTAATTTTTAAGGTGACATGCAAGACATGTATTGTTTGCCTAAAAAATTACTGACTTTACTATTAAAGTTGGATTTAGGAGAAAGAAATTAAAAAAAAAAAAAAATTACTATTGAAGTTGGATTTAGGAGCCCACCAAGGGAAATATTGAACTAGTTTGCGCACTAAAATCCTTCTTGTCATGTGTTTTAAATTACAAAAAACTCCTTCCACCATAATTATTAATTATTTGAAATTGATGCATACATGCATAATGTTTCAATCTAAATAATTAGATATAAATTTAAATCATGCATGCTTCTTAAGTTTATCCAATTCAATTCATGTCAAATATTCCTTTAATCCAAATGGAGTCTTACTTTTCAACATTGATTGTGTTAAAATATATATGCCCAACCCTAACTCTTTTTGGTACAATGAAGAGAAAATAACACTTTTATATATTTTTTCATTTTGAAGAAAGGTTAGCTAATTACGTTGCTAAGTAAATGTCTCCCTAAGTCAGTGGAGAATCGATATTGAATTAATTTTTAAGAGAGTTGAATATATAATTAATTGACTTAAAATGTTAAAACTATATTTTCTTCTTGGTAGATGTATACCTTGGTTGGATATGATATTATCGATGTTGTCCCGGTTATATTCAGCTCTTTCAAGTTGTTCAAACCATCCAAATCTAGTAGGGAAAGAGAAATCAGAAAAAAATAGTAATAATTAGCTATAATACATTGCTCACTATTAACCAAATTAACATGAGGATAATATTATAAACATGAGCATTTATGTTTTGTTTTGGATCTAGAACTGAGCTTTGAATGATGAGAGGTTGCTACAATATTACAGTCACCTTTCATATAAATCGTTCCATTCAATCTGTTATCACTTAATTTAGAGTCTTGAGTGTTGAAAATCCATTCAGAGATGTTAGGATGCTATTATTGAAATAATTGTCCGTTAAATCAAGGATTTGTAAATTGCTCAACCTTGATAGTTTTTCAAAACCTGCAAGGCCCACAATAAAAAAGTAATTTGCAGGTTATTTCTTAGCAATAACACACAACTTTGTTCTAAAAATAAAAATAATAATAATAAAGAAATTTTAAAAAATAAAGGAACCAATCAATCATCAAATGCAATCCTTAAAATGAATATGTATCTCATCTTTTATATATATATATATATATATATATATGAAGAGAGAAGTTAGGTAAACTTTCGTTCTCAATACATCCTTGTATATTTTGGTAAGCTAAGTCTAGGCTTATGAGAGATTCAAAAGGAAGAAATATTAAAGTGTTTAAATACCAATCTTCTAACTCATATTCTCTCGTAGAATTAAGCGAAAATTTGATGACGCAAAGTATGGTGGTATTGCACTCAACACCTTACCATTCACAGCAATCGAAGTCCTCCTCCCATGATGGCAAGGAAGAGCCATATATGGGTGGTTGATGGAAGGTTTGAGCCCCAAAAGAGCGACTCTCTCTTGCTCCCAACACCCATAACACTCATTCGCCAAAACAGACATAAAAAATAATGATAACCTCAATACTCCTTCTGAGTACTCCATTAGTGAATGCCAAGTAATTGAACGGATTTGGGTTTAAGTAGGCCTTCTTAATGTCATTGCCTTTTCTTTTCCAAAGCATGAATAGGAAGTCCCCAAAGTAAATATAAAAATATCTTTACAGCTACCATTGGCTTTCCACACAAAAAGTCAAGGTGTTAGACACGTGCAATGTTTTACTTGAGAACAGAGACAAAAATCCAATTTTACTTTGTGGTAAATTTAGATAGAATTTTACCTTTCTGAAAGGAAAAAAAAAATTATATATATAGATAGGATTTCAATGAAAGAGAGAGACTGAAAAAATAAAAATAAAAATAAAAAATAACAGCACACCCAATACATATTGTAAGGCTGTGATATAAAACGAAAGGCAAGTTTCTACGCAATTAATTTGTCCAATGCAATTTTTGTACGTAGATTATGTGAGAGATTGTGATTTGGTACTACTAAATATCATTAATCCATATATTGAAACACAGTTTCTCTCTACACCTATTATGGAATACATCGACTTAAAATCTACTTTAATTATTTCAGTTTAAATTTTCTTGTATTTCATAATTTGTTGATATTAAAGTTTCGTCATTGGACTGAAACTATGATGCAGATTAGGTTTCTTAGATAATCTGAAATAACAATCCAAAAAAAAAAAGAAGGAAAAAAAAAAAAAGAAGAGTAGAATATCCATAAGAAAAATTGGAGCAATGCAACTCCAGACCTAATCAAATAAAGACCTGAGTATTCAGTTGGGTCTACAAAAGTTCATAGAAACTCTAATCCAACTTGAATAAACAAAGGAAAAAAGATGAATAGGAAAATGATGGAACATAAAGATTCCGTTTGTTTGGATATTAAATTTTTTTTTTTTTTTTGAATGTTTGGTTGTAGTAAAATATTTACGAAAAAAATATATATATTAAAATAGAAGAAAAATAACTTATTTATCACTTTTCGACAAATTATTTTACATGTTCGGCCCGATGGAATCGACCTCAACTTCAACGTAAATCTTTATTAAAAATATAAAAAAAATATTTTACGTCAAAACAAACAAGTCAAAGTAAAATTAAATTATTTGATAAGATGCACTTACCTCAAAGTGAAGGGAGTGTGCAACGTGAAACTCACTCAGCAATTATCGGGCCACTTACCCTTGAAAAACTGCAGCTTCCCTCTAGTTTCTTTCCCACTTTCCTTTCGTTTCTTTTCATCCAAACATGCAGTCAAAAAGGAAAAGAAATCTCCAAATCTATCAAATGTATCTGTGTCTCTGATAAGAATATAATAATATATTCTTGACTCGGGTCAACCCACATAGCCTTAAATTCTGCACCGAAAGCAAGGAATAAGAGAGTGAAACGTGAAACTCACCTTCTTTCCGTTTTTTTCTTCTTTTTAAGCACAAGTCAATCAACGCCATCAAAAGAAAAACATGAATCACGTAGCCAGCCAATTCATGATTTCTTTGTTTTTTTTCTTTCACGATATTCAATGCATTTAATCAATTGTTGAAATTTGGGTAGTTAAATCGTATTTTGGTTAAGATATTTTTGACAAATTTTAGTAATTCTGAAGTTGTTTTGTTGTAACTTAAAAATTACAAATTTGAAATAAAAATGAAAGCTTGCATACATCTAAACATTCCCAAATTTTGCACTGGTGAAAACATTATAGATTTGTTTTTTTTTTTTTTTTTTTCTAAAAATCATATTTTTGGAAACAAATTTTAAAGGAGGAGACAACATTATTAAACAGTTTTTGTAGGTACTTAAAAACTGTTGTGTCATCAAAAGTTCTTAAAATCTTATTCAAACTGAATGTGATTTCTTTCTTTAAGTAAAAATTACTCAAATTTGATAACTTATATCAGCAAGAAATTTAAATAAAAATTTAGAAGACTTGTTGACAGTAAATGAATATTACAATTGACTGGTAATTAGAATTGATGAACAACATTCCACTAGTGCAATTGCTTCATATCAATCTCATAAACTTTATCAAATTGGAATGACTAGAACTCAAGCTGAGATCTCATAACTTTTATCCAGCCTTCTATGCTGGTCAAATTATTAACTTTTGCCCTAGAGAATGGCTATAGTTTTATATAGGAAGAGTGGAAATAAGAGAAGTCAACATATAGGCGCGGCACCGGCGGCCAAGGAGAACTCGGCAGGTGGAGATGGATTGGTTCGGCCGTGGATGAATCGGCGGCGGCTTAGATGAGGGTGACGGCGGAGAGCTTGGGCTTTGATGATGTCGACTGTAAAGGAGGCGACGGCGAGCTCAGTGGTGTGCAAGGCTGAAGACGGTGATGTCTGGCTCGGCCGTGGATGATGGCGACGGCTAGCTCGGCTCTGGATGATGGCGGCAGGCGAGCAAGGACGGCCAAAGAGAAAAATCCGGCGGTGATGGCTTGACTGTTCTGTAAATGGGTTGTTGTCTCTTGCTTTTTTTTCTTCTTTGTTTTTTTTTTTCTTTTTTTGTGGGTTTGGCTTTGTAATTAATTGGTGGTGAGAGGGTGAAGGTCGGCTCATGATTAATGAATAGAGAAAATAAATTGCCCGAATATGCAGGGTGGTTGCTGGGTGGAGATGGTGGCGGTGGTTTGGGGGTGGGGACGGTGGTAGTTGTGGATTTTGGTGTGGAGGGTTGTAGAATTGATTTGGGTGCTGAAGATAATTTGGTTATTTAAGTATTTTGATATTTTATAATTAAAATTAATAAATTCAAAAGGAATTTAAGGGTTTGAATTTCACTAGAGACGTGTGTAAGTATCAATTAGGAAAAAAATGTTTGGATGACAAATTTCACAAGGAAGTGTGATTGTTCCAAAATAGGCAAACTTTAATCATATTGTTTTTTCATATAAGGGAATGACAAAATTATCATTTACTAAAATTTAGTCTAACCGATCTTTCAAAAATAAAATTTTAAGGGTGTTTATTTGAGCAAGCGCGCGCTAAAACTTTAGAGGGGTGTGATTTGCCTAAACATCTGGAAAAGTCAATATAATTTACTAATTTACCCTTTAAATTACCATTACTATCTTTAACAGTAATGCAATGAAGGAGAACACATCTAAAGTTTGCTACATTTTAATTTGAATGATCCCATGACATGTTCGGTTCAGTTGTTTAAAAACAATATAATTTGATGTCACAAAGCTAAAACCTCATTTCTGTTTCACGGACCCAGTTAAATGCTATCATATGCAGCTGGGTTAAAATCCAATAACGCCACGGAGAGAGATGTTTTTAATTCTTGCATTGGTTGGTCAGATCTAGTATGTAACATCTAAAGTGACAATGAAATTACTCTTTTACTCTGATTATTTTAATAATAAAACAGACGAAAAATCTAAGCTTGTGAATTGACATTTTTGCAATTATTATCTATCCTCTTTCCTCTTTCCTTTCTCTTCTTCCTTTCTGTGTTCTCTCCCTCCTTTCAAGCACCCACCACCACCACCACCACCGTCTCTTCTTCCTCCGTGTTCAGACTAAAAGTAAACTGTTCCCATTTTAGTCCTTTGTTGTCTCTTCCCTAACAAACAACGTCGTGCAAGATTTTTCATCCTTGATCCTTGTGATTAGGCTAAAACCTCATTGGAGGTCAGTGTATTTAATATTCAACATCTAAATGAAACAAATCCCTCCAACAAAAGTAAAATCGATGAATGTCAGATTAGCTACTAATATTAATCAGATTGACCTAACAAAATGACCACTGTTTTGATATCACCAATGTCAAATGTTCAACAAAAAATAAGTAAAACGAAGTGCTAACTTCAGAGAAATACGCCACACAAATGACCATGTCTATAAAGAACACAGCATTCACATATACAGTCCTTCTGGGACCCCCTCTTTCTTCTTGAACATAACCTTGTCTTTCGCCTTTTTGAAGTCTGGATGTGTTACCTGAGACACATCAAACATTCTTGTAAGAGAATCAAACACTAAAAAGATGATGGTCAAATTACAACATAATATATGTCTTTTAAGTATTAACATAGTTAAATTTTAAAAACTCTTCCGGTTAACAAACATCATTATCATAGCATTGTGTTGTTTCTCTCTTCCCTCTTCGAGGCAACCTAGGGGTGCTCCGACATTTCCTGCCCTATTGAGGGAACCTTTTAAGGTGAATTGAGCACTTAGCTTCTGAATTATTATTCATAAGTTCCATTCTTTCTATTAAGTGGAAGTTGAAAAAGTCATCAGTTTTACACAAGGGACCCTATGCCTTCTGATTTACAGCCATCTGAAACTGAAGATCAGATGATATGGTTGCCTATCAATAAAGACTTATCTAAACAATGAGTATGGGATGATATCGGGACTAAAAAAGCCATAGTCCTGTGGCATCACTTTTTCACTGTTTGAAGGGGCAGGTCCAAAACACTCCTTTTTGTTATGGGTAACTATCTTAGATTACTAAAAACAAATTACAAAGATGAGGATAATAAATTCAGAAAGCTGTGTGTTCTGCAGACAAACTGAGGACAATGAGCATCATTATTTTAATGCTGCTGCACATAGAGTTTGGTCCAATATCAGAGCTAAATGTGTTTTAATTTGGATAAATTGGCAGATCTTTAGTTTCTACGCTGAATAGGCAAGTTTTTGGGGCTGTGGTCTATTCAATTTGGGCAGAAAGGAATCTAAGAATTTGAACTCTTGAGTAAAGAGATGGAACCACCTAACAGAGAAATCATGGAAATTATTAGACTAGTCTTTCCCTTAAAGGTTTTGAGGATAATCAGGTAAATAAATGGCTTGTTGGGGAATGGAATCTTCCTGGAACAGTGCTGGAGAAGTGAAAGGCCTGTCTTTTTCTGAAATGCTGATTTAGATGTATGTCAAGGTACTTTAGGTTTGGCACATGCTGTGTACTTTTTAGATTGTATTACAAATCTCTGTACTGTCTTGATTGGTTTGCATTGGTGTGCTGATTTTTGTCTCAGTTCCGATTGCAGCTCAAGAACGGACTGTTGTGAAGCTTGTTTTTTTTTTCATAAAAGATAGGAGTTTCAATTTTCCTTCCTTTTTAATCCTGATCTGTTTTAGTTGAGTTGTGAGGTTTAGAGGCTTTGATATCAAATTCATTGCTAAAAGATTCTTTTTTAGGTGGAGGTGGTGTGTTTTGCTCTATTGGATTTTAGTACTTTTTTTGTGAGGGTATATATTGAGGAAGGAATGTCTCTTTTCTTCTTGTACATGATTGTTTTGAGTAATGGAACAGCTTACTTTTCAAAAAACAAATAAAAGCAATATGCCAACAACCATGGGCCCCCGAACTAATATTACCGTGGATAGACAACATATTATGATTTTTTTATATGTTTTGTGAGAATTGGTCATAAGAAGCGCAAGAAGCAAAAGCCATTGGTCTCACCTTCATACGACGCTCTCTTAATGCAAGCAAACCGGCTTCAGTGCATATTGCCTTGATATCAGCTCCAGAAAACTCATCCTTAGTCATAACAAATTCTTCCAAGTTGACATCATCAGCCAATGTCATCCTTGATGTGTGTATCTGCATCTCAAAAGTAAAAGGTTTGCTTAGGTGAAAGTTATCACAAAGATAAGACTCATCAAAACTAAAACCGATATTTTTGTATCTATATAAATTAAGCCATGCATGCACCTGGAAAATGCGTCTCCTTGTTTTAATATCAGGAAGAGGGAATTCAATCTTCCTGTCTATTCGACCAGGGCGAAGCAGTGCAGGATCAAGACTTTCAATTTTGTTTGTTGCTAGGATCACCTTTACATCTCCTCTAGAATCAAAACCATCCAACTGATTCAGCAGTTCCAACATAGTCCTCTGAATTTCACGTTCACCACCTGAGTGAGCATCGTACCTGTAACACATGCCAAAATTAATAACCACCCAACAGAATTGCTCTGCAGTCACTACTACTATTCATGGACTCACCTTTTTGTACCAATTGCATCAATTTCATCAATGAACACAATTGAAGGTGAGAGATCGTCCGCAACTCTAAAGAGTTCCCTCACTAACTTCGGACCATCTCCCAAATATTTTTGAATCAATTCACTTCCAACAACACGTAAAAAAGTTGCAGATGTGGAGTTTGCCACAGCCTGAAAACAATACCACAGAGACCTAGAATTAAGGACTATTTTGACACAACTCGTGCAATCAACCATAAAGTCTTACGCCTAGCCATTGATTAACAGATGGCTAATCATCTATTATTAGCGAGTAACTAAGCAAGTAAATAAAATACAATTACCAACACCCCCCCCCCCCCCCCCCCCCCCCCCCCCAAAAAAAAAAAAAAAAAAAAACCACTATTGCCTTCAAAAATCCAAGCATTAGTTTAGTTAGTCTTTAAACTAAGCAAATCACATCAAGTAACGATTGTATAACACAATATAATACAATTCAATCAAATGTGTTTGAAACAAGCCATCAAGTATATCATTTTTTTTTTTTTTGGTATGAGAGAAATTAATGTTTTATATTTATGCAAACATGGGTAACCAATAAAGACAAAAAAAAAAAAAGATTTCTAGAGCAAGGGAAAAACTCGTATATACATGCTCTTTAATGGGAAAAATAGTTTCCATAAAAATATATAGTTCGCAATTGATGTTAACACAAATATTTAGGAGTCATTGACAGCATACACCAACTGTACAAGCAAACTTACGTTTTATCAATCAAGGCCATAGTGGGGCATATCCTAGAGATAACAAAATGCAAAAAGGATGATGAAAAGAATAGGCAGAGACGCATAATAAGTTTAAATGCAGTAACTCAACAGATAAGTGGATTAGGTTCACACCTTAGCAAGTAAAGTCTTGCCAGTTCCAGGCTCTCCATAAAGTATCACCCCCTTAGGAGGCTTGATACCAATGTCTTCATATAATTCAGGGTGTGTTAGAGGGAGCTCTACTGCTTCTTTGATTTCCTGTATCTGGGCATCTAAGCCACCAATGTCAGCATATGACTCCAATGGCGCCTTCTCAACCTTCATTACAGACACCATTGGATCAACTTCATCTTGAAGAAGTCCAACAACAGAAAGAACCTGAGAAAAGAGCATATATAATACAAAAATATTTAAATATTTCTTTCCAGCATATTTCCTCAATATTTCTTTTCAATCAAACAAAAAGTGCAAAATGAAATGACAAATGGATAATAATTTCTTGAATGAGACTATGTATATCATTCATGATAATTTTTTTTTAAATTTCAAAAAAGCCCCTGAACTATTAAATTTTTGCAGATAACCCCCCAAAAATACTATTTTGGCATGAAACCACCTATTATCAAGAAGTTGTATGTATTCCCCTGTCGTCGTAACTCCGTCAAAAGAAGAAATGTGGGTCACATGCACAATGTGTCATACAATCATATGTATTATGATTTATGACCATTCTACCTTTTTTTGGTTGACAAATATGCCAATGAACTCTTGATGCAGTTCATCTTCTCTGCCTAATGCTCAAACTGCTGCTGCTACTAATACTGCAGCAACTCCTTCAATGACCCCCTTCATATTAGGTAACTTCCAAGTCCTATCAACCCTAATCTTGTACATATAAATATATAACTTACTTTGTCTTGCCTTATATTGTCTTTACCATTGTTGTTTTACCCTTTTGAGGTTGACTAGCTAGTTATGCAGTAAAGAAAGTTTGCACTATAGTAGTGTGCTATCTGATTCCCGAGCACGCCGGACTCTACCTACTTTTGTAGTTGCGAATTTCCACCAATCAGAGGCATTATTTCTGACTTGTTGCCTACTCAAAGAGGCTTGTAATAGATTAATTGATACAATTTTGTAAAGAGTGAGATAGAATTGAATTTATACCAAATATAGAAATAGTTTCTCTCTCTAGAACTAAAGTTTTGAGAAAAAAGCAAGAATGAAGATGATGATGCCAATCTCTAAGTTAACCCTTGAGGATTCCATGGCCACTACAATGAGTGGCTAAATCCTTATAGCCCCTAAGGTTGCTTCCCCTAGTCTTTTGTATATTTTTGGGGATTTTAGTTGTAATTAATGTTTTGACCATGAATAAATATAAATCTTATTATTTTAACATGATTTGTATGGATTAATGTTTTCAATTGATCATTTAATTCTATCCATATGTCTATGTATGCTAGAATGAGTGTTCATGTGTTTTTCTCTAGATTTAATGAAATTGATGCATGTCTATGAGTGTTGATATTATATATCTAGTGATAGTCAAGGCATGGTGCTTAATTGATTACTCTTGTGGTTTATTTGATGATTCATACTCATTTCTTGATGGATTGTGCACATCCTTAGTTTAATTAGCTTAATTTTCATGTCATTAGCTTAGATGTAGTGTAATTGCTTTAATTTCTTAGGTAGGTAGACAATCCATTCTTATTGTTTGATGTTCCATACTTATGAATGCAAGAAGTACATTTCAAATATGTACATATATAGACATGTATGCTTATGAATGCAAGAAGTACATTTCAAATATGTACATATATAGACATGTATGCTTATATGTTCATATAAACATATGAATACTTAATACTAAAGCAGAACAAAGACCATCGAGGCCCAGGAGAGAACCAACTCAATTACCCTGTATTCATCCTCGAATTATAACTGAAATGTTTGTGGAATCGCCTCAGCCGAATCTCAATGACCTCCATCGGCATCGCTCATCAAGGTGAGCACATTATTGGTCCTCTCAGAACCAATCTGCACCATCCCCATGGTCCCATCTTCATCTTAAATCTCATACTTGCACCTCTTCTGGCTGATCCCACCAAAACTACCAACCCCAACTCTCTGCAACACAGTGTTCATTGTTTCCCTGGCCACCCTGCCATCATCACCATATCCCATATCTAGATATGCATGACTAAAAACACCACACCCCAAAAGAGGAAACCAATTACAGAATTTTCTGGTCCCAGAAAGAGAGAGAGCGTTGGTGAGGGAAGTTGAAGGGGGACAAATCTTTAGAGAGTGTTGGTGTTGCAATTGTATTTTGTTCACTCTACAATATGCTTTTATTTCTCCTTTTTTTTCCCTTTTCAAAGTGACAAAGGCAAAACTGTAATTTCAGTGGTACCTAACAAATAGTCCTTATTTGCCAAGTATTGATAGTTTAGGGGTTTTTTGCTTTTCCCAATGGCTATATCCAATAAATATATATATATATATATGGGTTGGGGAAGTTTCTGCAATTACTCCTAAATTATTTGCAAACCTGCCTAGGAATCAGTCCAACTAAGACCCAATGCTGAAAAAAGCTAAGATTCGTCCAACAAGTCCTTAGTTCCTTACCTTTCGTAACAACACCAAAATGAAACTTTAATAAAGAGCATATTACAAGCAGAATAATGAAAAAACACTAGAAAAGAAACTACAAATCTGAAGCAGTAACTTCCCCTAAACTAACCTCAATCAAACCCCAAATCCTACAAACACAGCTCATCAAATCAAACATGAACCGAATAATTCAAAATTTTGAAAAGGCAAAAAAAATAAAATAAAATAAATAAATAAATTCCCTAGGTTCCCATTTTCTCATCAAATCAAACATGAACTGAATAATTCAAAAGCCTAATATCCTGATCACTAATCGAAATCATAATTTCAACAAAAAAAAAAAAGCAATAACTTATTGTTCATCATAATCGCATATCCAGGCTCAAGTTGATCACTGTCTATAGGAACAAGCAGACTATAAAAAACACTAGACAGAGAAATTAAGAATCTGAAGCAGTAAATTGCCCAAAACCAAGCTCAATGGACCCTAAAGCCCTCAAAAACACGCAAAAACAGAGAATAATATCAGAAAATTGGAAAATGAATGAACCCTAATCTCTCATTTTCACATCAAATTGAGTATCACCTAACAGTTACTAATCACAGCTCAATAATTGAAAACCGTAAGGTTTCACAATCAGAAACCACAATTCAAACAAAAACAACAATACCTTATTGTGCATCAAAATGGCACACCCAGGCTCAAGCTGGTCCTTGTCTACGAACGACAAAATCCCCACGTAGTACTCCGGTCCCACCGAAGACGACACGATGGCGTGATTCTCATCGATCAACTCCTCGAGATTGCCAACGCTCATCGGCGACCCACGCAGATCGTCGACCTTAGATCGGTCCTCCTCCGTTTTCTCTTCTTGGGGTTTCAATCTCTCTTGATTCGTCACGAACTCTTCTTCCATCAGAAGGTAGTCTTTGATTCGCTCGAGTTTTAGTAACCTCAGCTTGCACTTCGTCAGTGGCGTCACCGTCGGAAGCCGCGCCGCCGCCTCCGGTCCCTTCTGCTTCCGCTGCTTGCGGCCGACTCGGGCCGGCGGCGCCGCCGGTTCAAACTTCTTCTCCTTCTTGTCGCCGTCTTGCTTTCGGTCGCCTGGTGGTTGGCGGTTCAGACCGCCCGGAGTTCCCTGACCCATGATGAGAGAGAGAAAGAGAGCAAGGGTTTGGAAGAGAGAGAGAGAGATGAGGTTTGGAATTTCGAGTGTGTATTTCGAAGTATGTGTAATTATATATATCGTGCAGTCGAGCAAGCGACTTTCCTTGCACAGCGCACTCTTAAGATTCCTAAAATTACAGATCTCTAAAAATATAAATTTACAAGAAAAAAATGTAGGAAAAAGTGCAAAAAACCTGTGAATTATTATCAAAATTGTAAATACCCATGAATTATTTGGGGTTATAAATGGAACTCTCAATTATAAAAAGGATGCAAAAATGACTTTTTTGGTCACCGGGCTATATTTTTCGGTGACCAAAGGGTTAAAATTATCAAAATTTCCCCGCTTATTAATTTATATAAAAATTATAAAATATAATAAATGTACAATACTTATAATACCGGACAATATTGCAACTAACTAATAGTTCAGGGGTTTTGTTACAATTTTGCCTAATAATAATAATAATTGTACTAAACTAATAAAAATAAATTAAGGTATGTAAATCACTTTTATAGCCCTGCGAATTAGCAATAAGAATAATAATAAAAACAATAGTAATCATAATAATAATAATAATAGTAATAATAATAAAATTTTAAAATAATAGCAAAAATAAATTACTTGATTAGTTACTTGATGGATCCTATGCCTATAAATAATTTTTGCAAACTCATAAATTATCAAAAAATAAATTAATTAAAAAAAATGATGTGCTAGTTCAGTTGACTGTGTAATAGTAATATATATATTTTGTGAAGGTAAATAATAGTAATATTAACAACGGACTAACAATGTGCTAAAAACAAAAAGTATAGCAGAAACATTTAATTTCATTAATTATATATAGATAGATTACGAATTTACGTGGAATCCACGCATTACATTAACTCATTAATATTCTCTTACTTTACCATTGTTTTGGGCTTCATTTGTTTGGTTGGAAAATTTTTTATATTTATTTTTTTGTGTTCTATTGTCCAAAATTTAAGTAAAATATTTACTGAGTAAAATAATTTACAAAAACCTAACAAAAAATAACTTATGTTTTTGTTCTAGAATTTTTTTCAGGACCTTTACCAAACACCGAAAAATAAAATTAAAAAAATATATTTTATCTCAAAAAAATTATATAAAAAATATTTTTCAAGGAAGATATTTTAAAACAAATGAAAATTTGCCTAATTTTTCACTTTAAAAAGTATTTTCATATATACATGTGTATGTACATATATGTTTACTATCATCATTTTTTTAATTTATTTATTTGTTTTTTTTAATAATTTATGAGAAATTATTTATAGGTATATGGATCCATCAAGCAACTAATCAAGCAATTTATTTTTGTTATTATTTTAAATTTTTATTATTATTACTACTACCACTAGTACTATTATTATTAGTTATTATTATTCTTATTGTTATTATTATTTTTAATTCATTAATCATTTAAATTAAGAATAATGTAGAAAGGAGGGTTTATTTTTATCCTGCACTCGTATTTTCAATCATTGAAATGACAATATACACCTCATATCTATTTCGAGTATTGATATTTAATGAAAATTTAAAATGGTCTCCATACATTGTAAATACTTTTTTTTTTTTTCTTTAATCTTAGTTTTATTTTTTTTAGTTATTATTTTGAAAAGATCATTGCAAAAATGAAAAGGTAAAGTAATTTTTTTTTTTTTTTTTTTGACAAAAATCTTTAAAACAAGACACAAAATAGTTCTTCATCTTCCTCTTCTTTATTGTTTTGGCTTTTTGCAGATTTGTTTGTTTTAAACACAAAATAATAATTATTATTAGTATTGAATATATAATATTAATGCCTAACTATAAATTTTTCATTGTTACACAATTGTGTGAGGGATTTCTAGCACCAACTTACCATTATAAAATTAGACTTGATTTATTAAATTACTATAATTCTGTTTATAAAATGTACTATTATTATAATATACTTAATTTATTAAATTATTCCGCGACTTAGTTGATAAAACTTTCCGAGTGGGTAAAGTTTTTTTTTTTTATTCTTTGTCTTATTCCCTCTTTTCTATTTTTAGATAGAGTGGACTATGATTATGATTTTTTTTTCCCTAGCAAACAAAGAGAGCATTACAAACTGATTTGGATCGCAATATTAGTTTTCCCTCATGGCTATGGAGTTGAACACCCCTATGAAGAGATTTGGAAATATCGAGTGCAAGCTTCAGATGAATAATTCATTCTACATTCACTCCGTTATTCCAGATATCAACCCACAAGCAGCGTCCCAAAATCAAAGCAGACTTTTGCCCAACAGTTGTGACCTGCACCCAAAACATAGATTCTGTAAAATAAGGATCTGTAAATTCCAAATTCTTCATTCATTCTCTGAGAACCACCAAATGCCCATCAAATAGACACGGGCTCTCATTGAGAAACCATTTCCAAAGGTGTTCATCGGAATAAGAACTTGGGAGATGTAAAAACCCACGTGATTCACCATCAATTGATCCTCCAAACCCTCAATAAGCTCTTGAAGATGGTCAGAGGTGTCTTCCTCAGTAAACTTCACGAGTTGTTGTTCAGCACAAGTAAGTGAAAAGCCCTCCATGAGAGCTACCAGATCCCTTTCCATGCATAATTCCACTATAAGAGCACAAACCAACCATAGACTACAAAGGCAAACCCCCCAAGAGAAATGAAGAGAGGAGATTCCCATAACGATAATGGTGAAAAGTAAAAGAAATGGAAGTATGCTCCGCCAGATCTTGAAAAAAAAAGTCGTCTTTGCTAAAGTGATTTGAAAATAAGAGAATTTACACACATGTGACATTTCGAGCAGACCTTTACAACTTACAACAAGCCAAGATCAAAATGGATGTTAGAAATAATGTGCCAAACTGTGATACTCCCGAATTTTCACGCGTAGGTTAGTCAGGCATACGCCCGAATATCCGGGAATATCAAAAACAAACCGGCAATAAATTAACACAGAATACAAAATGATAAATAAAAATATATAAAACGTTGATATGAAAGCTAAAATGGTAATCTAATATTTAAATCATCATAATAAAATTCTATTAAATAGTAAATTCTTCTGACACAATTAATTCTCCAAAATACAACTCGGGAATCCATATTATGTGGACTCTTAGAAAATCCCAAACTGGAATAAATAACAGTAATAACTGTCTACATCTTAATACTAAAAACATAAACCAAAATTCTATGTAGATAACCAGAAGAATGATGACTGGTCTCTACTTTACACGAACAAAATTTACACCTGGTACTATCATAGACCCGAAAAATAAATAGTGGGTCAGGCCCACAAATAAGTTCTTTCTACTACTTCTCATAGAGACTTAAGGATCAAATACATCCTAGTCAACTCATGCAATAACTATATAGTTCGTATACATATAGATACACACTACAGGACTCTCACTGGACTATAGGGCAGTCTCAACGTAGGCAACATGTAAAACCCATTGGTAATCATAAGTATCATCATCTACTAGGACACACAACAATCCATTATATCCAACTATGCATCTTAGGCAATATACGCTCCCTAACCACCGATCCTGATAATTCAAGCTCATATCGTGGCACATATCTATATATATAAATCACTATCCTATCCAAAATATAAAACATCATATCCGCCATAGTCTTTCTATGGCATGTTATCCACTTCTGAATCCATGACCTGACACGAAGTATGAGACTAGACTTATTGGTCAATTCATCCATAAAATATCCAAATCCAAAACAATAAAAATAAACTATTTGGATATGGATCCGTGGCCTGATACGAAGAAGTGAGACTAAACTTATTAGCCAGCCAATCCATAATATGCCCCCATATCCTGACAATAATGCATTATTCCATAATCATATCCAAATAATGGTTTCTAATCCAAACAATGATGCAAACATGCATGTACATCAAGTAATCCAGAAATAAACATGATAATCATCATTCAAATATCCATTGCATTTAATAAAGCAATATACAACTTTAAGTAGCATGTAATTAACTTACAGACAAGTAATTAACTTATATCTCAATTAAATTACATATTATTGTATATTATACATTCCGTGAATTAATCAACCCATAAGTTAATCAAAATCCATTACGTCTTTAATCTTAAGCATATTAATGTATGTTATGCATTCGGAGAGTTAATTAGGTCCATTTAAATCATCCATTACAATCTAGGTAGCTTTGAAAACCCCTGAAGTCAAAACCAGAACCCAAAAACATCATTCTGCAAAATTTCCATAAGGGAGTCGGCTCCCTCCAAAAAGGAACCGGCTCTCGCCTTGAGAATCGTGAAAATTTACAAGGGAACCGGCTCTTTTTCAAACAGAGCCAACTCTTGCCCTGTTGCTCTCCTTCTTCTCTGTTTCCGGCGATTTTTAATCACTTTGTTCTCTTCCGTTAAGAGTCCTAACCATCCGTACTAAGTCCCAAACGACCCAATTAATTATTTAAGATAATTACACATGATTAGATTCAGTTTAGACAACAATCCATGCATTATAATTCGAGATCAAAACAAAACATCAAAACATATATATAAACATGTAACTTTTTTATTTTAATCCGAATTAGCATGCATATAGGTTCATTAATCTTGCTTAAACATCCTAAAGTTGTCGTAGACTTGTATTGGACACTAGATCAAAGAAAAGGAGTATAACATAGAACTTGCCTTCAAGGGTTTTGGATTGAAAACACAACTCCTATCTTCTCCAGCCAATTCCTCAACGCCAGCATCCTCTGGTTGCTGTCGTCCTCCTCTGCAGGTCTGGTCTACACACATGAAAACCAGCTCCGTCTTCCTCTTCTTGCCCTTAGTAATTACAATACTAGTATAACCTAAGGGCAAAATGGGGTGTTTACAAATGGGCAGAAATATGTAAGCAGGGTGTGGATTGTAAAAGGTAATAATAAACAATAAAATAGAATAAATGGTTAATTACAATGACACCCCCTGAGGTTTGCTCTATTGATAACCATATATAAATTAGCCTATTTTTGAACAATGACAC